AGAGCCTACAATTAGATTAAATGCTGCTTATTTGCAGGTAAATGTTCTTAGGACAGCAATCTAAATTATTTTTATTTTATTATTTTTATTGGGTAGCAACTATATAGAGTTGCTACAAACTCATCCAGAAATTCACTATATAGGTAGCCTTTGAATTGGAACCAGAATTTCTATTGCTAGGTTAAAAGTCGTAAAGCATAATGTCACACCACTGCATCGCTTAGTGATGGCAATCCCAGTCTTAGCTGCTGTTGTTTACCAATTCTTATCAGTTGTTACCCAAAAACCCACCCTCATTCTACTTTCAGCTTGGTCCCTACCAGCCCTGAGATTTGGTAAAATATGGGACTGCCTCCTCTTAAACTCTCCCCCCCCACCTATTTCCTTATCTCTACCCTTCTAGCCACCTTGTATTCTGCCACCACGCTTGTGACAAAGCAAGGCCATTGGTAGTAATTGGTAGGTTGCCATCCAAAGGCCGTCATAAATGCAGCTGGGCCCAAATTATGTTCATGTGACCATGGGGACATTGTAACACCTGAAATCCCTGTGTTCAGCATCATAATAATTTGGAATTGTTGCTCAAACAAATGGACAGTAAATAAAGACTACCTATATGGATTTACATTTTCTAAACTCTGGGGCTTTTCCTACAATTTATTAATGCAAGAGAAGTTTGAGAATGGTTTAACTAACACTGCAATTTCACCTATGGAGATATTGTACCAGATATCGCTATAAGTCAACCAAATCATAACAAATTCATACATAATATTAAAAACAGTAGTTTTCAGAAATCCACGTATTAAAGCTAGGTTTTATTTCTTTTTAAATATATACCGGTAACATTGATATATGCAAGGTAAGTTCAAATTGCTTCTGTAATTACAATATGCCTATCAACACATTCTTAGCAATAAAATTATGTCTCTGTAAACATAATGCAGTAATTTGTTTTAATCATTATTAAATAAGTCAATGACGTGTTTACACATTCAATCATATTCAATCAAACCAAGTTTCATAAGCCAAATGGCTTGATTTGTATATTGTATATTCTCTGGCTTGTATAAGCCAGAGAAATTAATTTACTGCTTACTTTACTAACTGAAACAAGCATATATTACATTATTACACTGTTCATTAACAAATATTTTATCCCAATAAAAAATGAACACAAAATGGTCCATTTGGATTTTTGACTCACTAGATCTTAATTTCTTGAAAGTCTTTCCAAATGTAATATGATTGTGTATGCAGATATTAAAGTGAAGCTTTTCATCTCATAATTTACAAAATATATTGATGTTGCAATATGAAATTTTGAACAATTCACCTCATTTTTCCTCTTGAAGTAATATCTACTCGTACTGGTTCGAATTTGTAAGCTGGAGATATAACTTCAACAACATATGATCCAGAAGGAATATCATGAACCACAAAGCTTCCATCTGTCCTGATAAAATAGAAAAGAGCCAAACATATAACTCTATCACAGAATGTTTTCAGAGATAACCCAATAATTTTAGATTTCATACCACAAGAAAAGTTTTGCTTAATCAGACAAACTAGCCATAGTTTAGAGTTACATTTCAGAGCATTAGACTCTGCGTTAAGACAATAAGATTATAATTCCTGACAACATATATGTACTACAATGTTCTTCATTAATAACAAGTGACAGTGAACTGGTATAGCAGGGCAGTTATGAATACAAGATAAAACATTCTAGTTTCTATCTCAGCAGAACCACTTGGCCTGAGACAAACTGTAAAAATCACTAATATGTTATATACAAAGTATATTTATCTTATAGACCAGTTGGATTTATGTATAAAAACAAATGAAGTATATTGTTTCCAATATGGGTTTTTTTTTTTTTTTTGCTTAGGAAATAAAAGGCAAGTAAAGTAAAGTAACATGGCATGGAAAAAGTTAAGAGGGAGAATATTTTGGCTTGCCCACCCAATAAATTGGAGTCATTGAATGAATATGATTGGCAGATTGTACTTAAATATATTTAAATATAAAATTCAGGAAATGTATTTATTCCTTAAATTTCTAAGCTACTCTATATTTTTAATTAAAGTGAACTGACATTTAAAAGAAAATAAAAATGTGTGGACAAATTTACTAGTCATAATGGCTGTAAAAGATCATAAAAACAGGCCTACTGCATCACGATAAATCTGACATCATACCCACAAAATTGGGCTTAAATTATTTGCAGATCAGAGCTCAAATGTTTAAAGCCTGTGATGGCCTTAAAATTATACAATTCTATAAAGCTTGCAGATTCCTGCAGTTAAAAATTCGAAAGTTGATTTATCTGCGGATAATGCCATTTTTGATGGTATTTTGGTTGACATTTTGAGGGTTGGGTTATCTGCAATTATATACAGCATTCCTTCCAATTAGCTTGACTGGATGACCCCTGGTCCCACTGTTTTAAGAGAGAAAAATATTAATATTTTATAAAATTAAATAAAATTTAATAAATGAAATAGCAAAATTCTCTGCAGAGTTTATAATAAATCTGCCCACTTTCTTTTTCCAAGCTAAAATTACAAATGTATTATTCTTTTCTAGTATGGAAGGTATTTGAGTCCCCAAATCATTTTGATTGGCAACTTCTGCATTTTTCCTGCTGTTACTTTTCTAATATGAACAGAGCAGTACATAGTATTGTAGATATAGAATCATTACAGACTTGTACAATGACATTGCAATGTTGATAGATATTGTACATTTCAGCCAACATCTTCACTGAACTAACCACTAGGATTCTAAACATTGGATAGACATCAGGCTTTACCAGAGCACCTGTAAAGTTAGGAGGTTTTGCTCTGATGTACATTACTTTACATGTAATGAAATCTTGGTCAACCATACATTGGAATATATTCATTTGTCAACATCAGAGGCAACTTGATTCTGTGTGCATGTACGTCTAATCTGCAGGAATTCATTAGTGTAATATGAAAAGTTGTGTTAGCATTTCAACACAGACTATTTCAACACAGAAGATAAATTATTTTACGAACTCTAATAAGAGATATTGGGTTACCTGCTTAAAATGCACCCCATAAAGGCAACTGCCCTTCTGGGAGGAGCATAGGGAGAAAGCAAGAACAACTTCCCCATCAATATAGTGTTTAAGGATACCACAATAATGTAACTAATTCAATTTTTGATATTTACCACTTCTAGGTTCAATTCTGATTTACCATTAAGAAAAAAACCCATAATGGTTGGAGGCATGAAATTGTATGTTCAAGTTTTAATAAAGATGTACTCTAAAATATGTTGGTAATTAACATTTTCAAACAACTGGGTGTGTGTGTGTGTGTGTGTGGAAACTTATATCTGAAGATCAGAAACACAAGGACATCTGAAATTGAGCAGCTTATTCTTCCTCAGAGCAGAAAACCAACTGTAAAGATTGAGAGGTATTGCTTTGCCAGGCCAAATACATTTAGAAAAAAACTGCTTGTTTAGTTTATTTTAGTTTATTTGATTTGTATACCGCCCTACTCCCGAAGGACTCAGGGCGGTGAACAGCCAACAATAAAATACATAGATACAAAAAATTTAAAAACCAGATAAAATCAAATTAAATCATTTTGGCCCAGACAGATTAAAACACCCCAATAATTTAAAAACAGATTAAAATTTAGATATTTAAAAAAGGGATCTTCCCAAGCAACAACTCAATCCCAACCCAGTGTGACACAATAAATATGCTTTAAAATCTGTCCTGGCCAATCTGCCTTGATCTAATCCAGACCAGCGTTCCCCTCAGCCTATTCTCTGGCATCAAGATTTTAAGACAGAATAAAACAGTAATGACGAAAGATGTTTTTGCCTTTGTCTAGCGAGTCGGGAAGCTTTAAATTACGTTATAAGTTATATCATGCCTTTCCTTTAGAAACTCCCTACTCCAACTTTTGTCCACATCAATGCTGTCGATTAGGATTGGTTGGGAGGAGTGACGGGGCCAAAGTCATCCCCTGAACTTCCCAAAAGCTAAAGGATCCATTTGAACCCGTCTCTCCTCAGGGCCAATTCAGAATTCAAAATCTCATCTACAACCTCTGAAGGCAAAACCTCCCTCGACACAAGCTTGACTCCACGGACACAACTACACTGTTTACTTGACAACACCAGAGCAGTATCTCGCTAGCGTCGTCAATGCCTTCAATTAGCATTGTGGGGGCTTCTGGTAGTCTTTCCCTCAGGTATTAAGTGCAAAACTTGCTTAGTATTTTTCTTTTCTTTTCTGGTTTAAGGCGACGGCGGTGTTAACCCTGAGGGAAGACTGTTGGACTGATAAGAGACCCGTCTTCGCCTAGGACGGTCATTCCGCTTCCGAAATTAATAAATACATTAATAAATTTTTTTTTTAAAAAAAATGCCCTTTTTGTGGTTGCCCAATTTAGCCTTTAGGAGTTTAATTTAGGGGTTTTCCCGAAGAGACGCAAGGATCCAAAGCGAATTAATAAGCAAGTTCTCGACATGGTCCGGAACGAAGCGGGAGCCCCCCCCCTCTTGCCCCCCAACAAGCACCCCAGAGGGGGTCCGCAGAGCCGGGCTGGGAGAGTGTCGACGGTTACCGCCACCGCGGTTGCTACTCACTTGAGGAAGCCGACGTGCTCCTCCCCGTCCACCAGCACTCGGGCGCCCGCAATCCAATCTTGGGGCTTCACTCCCGGCACCACCGCGCGACCCTCGATCTTAAACCTCTCACCGGCGCCAAGAGCATCCCCGCCACCGCCGCCGGGCGTTTCTGAAGCCCACGAACGTGAGGGGAACTGAAACGTCGCCGCCAGGAAGAAGACCGTCCCGAGCAGACCAAAAAGTCCGGCCGCCATGATAGCTCTTGCGCGAGATACCGGGATAACGAACAAGCGGAAGGAGGCTTTTTTTTTTTCTTTCTTTCTTACCCTTACCGGCGCATGCGCCAAGCGACCGGAATGCGCCTTTCGACGGGCCGGCGCTACGTGTGGTCACGTGACAAATAAGGAAAATGCCCGGTTCTTATCCTCAACTCTGAAACTCCGGACTTCCGGTTCCTTCTAGCATTTTTTTTCCCCCGAGGGGGGCGTGGAAATTAGCCTTGGGTTGCTAGTAAATTGTTGCCAGACGAGGCTATAATATTACTGTGATTCGACAAAAGTACACCCTACCCTACTCGAAGAATCAGGATAAACATCTCCGTGAGCCACCCGAGTGGAAATGCTAATTAGTTTCATTTTTCAGCAACTGACACTAACAAGTTTTTTTTTTTAAGTTTGAAACACCTCCAGTCCCTTCTAACAATATTAATACAAAATGTATTATTTTTGTAGAGTTTGTGCAAATGTAATATATGTGTCCTTGTAGAGGGTTGCAGCAGGCTATCGAAGGTTTTTCACGGGAAATTCTCAAAATGTATGTGAATTGTTGATGAAGCAACTATGCTTCCTCTATATATCAACCTATGTATAGAGTACAGATAGACCAGAGACCATTGCAAAGGTAATAGATATTTAATAGTTATATTTGTAGATTCATATTTCTTAGGTTATTAACAAGGTACTGCACTTTATTTAATGGTCTGATTCACTATCTGATATATAAAAATGTTGCACTATAAAATTTTATTCTACTTTCACCAATAGAAGGACTAGGTTGCAGAAACTTGACTACTGATGAATACTTTGGGTGTGGCCTTGTTTCTCATCTCAGTCGTTACTAAAAAAAATCTGAAATGGATCCCAAAGTTAATTTTAAGAGTGTCTGTCTCTCTCTAGTTTCTGTTTAAAAGATACAATGGAAGAGGAACAAATTTTACTGGACAAGACTTTTAAAAAAGCTTTCAAAGTAAAAGCTTAGGTGTGTATCACAAAGCGTTACCAATCAGCACAAAAACTGTAGCATATTAAACGGTTCTCTGTGATAGCCTGACACATAGCATGCTTCATCTATATGTTTTTTCACATAATTTGACTGTACACATGTCTTCATAAAATGGTTTGTTTCTTGGCTTTTTAGAAGCCATCCTTTAAGCAACGATGAGTTGAAGAGACTGGTGCTGAATACATTACTGCTTACCATGAATCAAGATCATTTAGAGAAAAATGTTGACAGTTTTTCAGATAGAAAAATTAAACTTATTAGTATTTAATTAAGAAAAGGATCAGTAATGCATGTTATTATGACATGTAGTTATGGTAGTATATTTAAATAACATTTGGTAAACGGAATCTTTTCTCATTGCATATGGATTGTGGTCTGTAAATGTTTTATGACACATTATGTCATACAAACCCAAATATTTTTAAAAAAATCATGGCTTAGTATAATTTGTGAGTTCATTTTTTCATTTTCAATTCTCCACAAGGAAAGCATTTATAATTATAGCTCATAATTTTATATAACATCCTGAGTCAGGCAGACACAAAGATTACCAATGTTGGTATTAAAATAGGAAAATAATCACACACAAATATATATATATATATGGAATTTATTGCCAAAGTCTACTATTTTACAAAGTTCAGATGATACCTGGCAGACATTATAGATCCTCCCAATAAAAATAACAATTCTATTCAAGTACTTGATGTTGAGCACTATGTAATTATTTTGTTGGTTTTTTGCATTCTCTGTTTCCTTTTCTTCTTGCAGTTATTTCATTACTAGGCTAAGTAACGTAAGTGCATAAGTGAGGAAAAAAGTTGCAAGAAGAAAGCTCAAAGAATAAGAACCCCAACAATTCAACCATGAGGTATATTGATTCTCCAGTATTGAAACTTTATTTTGCCTAACGTATGCATTTTCCTGAAGTATTCTTGTCAAAATAGACATACCAATGTACTACTCTATTAGTAATTGCAGCAACAGGGCTGGGTCAAGCAAATGAAAGTAAAAACTGTGCATGCACACTTTTATTCAGACACCACTGAGGCTAAATTATTGCAGACATTTATGCAGACTGCAAGAGTTTTTGAAGCAGCTTATAAATTCTCCAAAGGACATGGCTTTTTAAATAATCTATGCTTCAATTGCAGTAGAATGTTTTGTACAGTTGTACATCACTTTGCAATTGATCTCCAAAAAGTATTTCAGAGTTGCTTTTCCCCAGGACTGATCTTTTTGGTGAGTGAATATATACAGGCAAACTTTGCTTACCAGTTGCCTTGTGCAGCAATCATTTGAAATGTTGACAGTGCTGAAAAGATAACTGTGACCAAGCTGAGCTTTTGCAATCTTTAAAGCATCCCTCAGTTACATGTGTCATCATTACAATCCTATATATTGTCCTGTACATGTTCTTTTTTTTCCTTCACAGAGCAGAGAGAATGAAGAAATAGAGATTACAAGACAGTAAGCAGGCACACATTGAATATACATTGAAAGGAATGTGATTGTGTTGTCTATTGTTGCATTCTTTTCAATGTATATCTCCCATTGTGTGCCTGCTTACCTTCTTGTAGTCCCTCCCTCTTCAATGAATGAAAATAGAAACATTAAATCCCTACTTAGTAATTATCCTAGCACTGAGAGTCAGCATTTCAAAAGGCAGGGGCGTGGGGGAAAAGAAAAGGAAATAAAATCATAAAGCAGTCAGTCTTGTGATTTTCCACTTAGCAACTGCATCACTTAGTAACCAAGTTTCTAGTCCCATCTCTGGTCACTAAATGAGGACTACCTATACTGCTGCACAGTTCTATAGCTTTGCAAAGCACACCCTTCAGATGCTTCACCTTCTCCACCCTTTGTTTAGTACACATTGGTGCAGCATATACTGAAGCTAGGTACATCTAATGTGTAAGTCATTATAACTGATTGGTGCTCATTCCCTGTTGCATTTTCTAGGGACTGATGTTGCAGTGTGTGGATGTACGATTTAATACCAATTTTAATGGAAAACAAAACAACAAAACTACTTTTAATATGTCTTAACATTTATAAAAAAAATTCAAATCTCCATACACAAAATATCCCAAAATCTCCATCCATTCATAACTATTTTAAGCCTTTATTTTTTGCAATGCCACTTTATATTACCTATCCTTCTGTAGAATGGAATAAAAGAAAGAGCAATTATCAAGGCAAAATGGCCTATGAAATAGGAGGTCAATGTGAAAGAGCATAAAATTGCTACTTGTCTTAAGTTAGTTGATCAGATGAATACAGTAATGTTATAGAATTATACAGTCTGTTATTGATGCTACTGATTTCATATAGTAAGACCTTAAAAACATTATGGTAATAATGATTGATTTTACATATTTAGTCCTTATTTTTAGCTCTGTCTGCTCAAGAACACGACAGCTTTTCTCTTATATAAAGACATAAGACCCAGGAAAAAATTGCATGACTCTGTACAACTGGAAGAGTCTGTAAGTCAACAGAACTAGACTTATAATTTTGATTTTAACAATTCAGAATTGTTTTTATAAGGAAATGTACATAAGGCCTCTTACAGCCTGCAGTTGCTTATATACATAAAACTAATATTTAAATTTAATTTGGGATTACATTAAATATAATGAGCAACTTTGCTAGCATGCTATAAATATTTCAGTTTACATTTTGGTGCACTGCTGGCACTTCCTAAACCTTTATTTGGAAATATTTGTTTTCTACTTATATAAAACACAGGTGTCATCTTAGAAACACATCAAGTTGTTTTTCAGTTCAAATGATCACGTAATCCATAGCAGATTGTCCTAAAATGTCACAAATAACCCAAACAAAGTACAGCTGTAAAACTTGTACATGGGATGTACTGCATTTATTGTTCTTTTAAAAATCAGTGTTAAGTTAGGAATTTGACCATGTGGCATCTATGTCTGAAAGCTTTGCAGCAACATTTGTTAGAAGAGGTAGCAGCTGCGCTGTTAAATCTGAAACGCACAAGTCTAGTCAGGCTGTAAACATTTCTAGGAGTTTTAAATATCCAAAGAATAGCAGAAAAGGTTTTGAAGTGGGAAAATCTGAACAGTAACATTAGTACATTTACTAAACTGCATGTAATTCAAACTACAAGGAGGAGAATATATTAGAAAAGGTATTAAAATTCTGCAAGATATACAGAATCACTATTATGTTGACAGCTACAGTTAACTTTCTCCATGTTCTACATTTTAATACTCTTATAATTAAGTCAGATAGGTATTTAAGTAGTCAATTTAGTGGAAAACCCCACTTCAATATATTTCAGTGTGCAAAACGTTTCAAAATTATTTGTACACAATTTGTGTAAACACTTTGATTTTTTTCAAAGGAATTTCCATCCCTCTATATAGTTATTTAATATATTGGCTATATGATATCCTAATATATTGGCTATTTGCAATTCTAGTAGTTAAGGCCTCTTTGCTAGATGCAGTTTTTCAGTAGTGCAACAAAAATAGTCTTTAATATTTTGATTAATATAGCAGACACATTTCAGAAATTCAGTATATCAAAACTGTCAAAATATTTAACATTTGAAAATACATTTTTACAGTTCGTAAGAAAAACACAACTTTAAAAAATCTTTATGGCGAATGATCTTTTGTGGTTCCCAGTAATGGTTTTCAATTCTATCTTCACAATTCGGTTTTGTATTATATAGTTATGTAGAAGAAACACTTTCACGATTTCACCAGGCAACTGAAAATATCCCCCAAATGCGGCAAAGGCATACATACAGTTTTCATAGTGCACTTTCACCTCACTGAAGTAAAAGTTGCTCCTGTTAGATTTTTTTTCCACTTCAATGTGAAGCAGATGGATATTTAGCGTTCGCATTAAATAATCCAATGGTCTAGCCTTCTTCTGTCAATGACAGTCCTCAGATGAGGAATTATTTGGAAAGAGTATCTTGCTTAGTGTTACTGTTGACAGTTTCTGTTTAAGCACATTAGTGCACACACAGCTTTGTCCTCCAGGTACATCAGTGCAACTGTAACAAATAAGATTCCACTTCCTAAAAAAAAAAAAAGAATAGAAGCAGTAAAGCACATTAATTCAAAAAGTAATTCATAACACCAAGCCTCTCTTTGAATGCCAGCCGTAATAGTTCAAAACCCAGAATGCTGGCTGAGGAATTCTGGGAGTTGAAGTCCACACATCTGTCAAGCTGCCAAAGCTGAGAAACATTGCTTTAGCAAACACTTGCATGTTTATCTCTATTCTTACTCAGAAATTTCTTTGTAGAAACATAATAAAAACATCCATGCTTGAGAACAGGGCTTAAAAATATTATCAGAGCATTTGAAGTGTTACCTAGGAACTGTAGTACAACATGGCTTGTAAACGGCCAACCAGTATATATTGTAGGTAGTTCTCGACTTACAACAGTTCATTTAGTGACTGTTTGAAGTTACACTGGCACTGAAAAAAGTAACTTATGACTGTTTTTCACACTTATGACACTTGATGCATCTCCATGGTCACGTGATTTATGTTTGGATACTTGACAACTAACTCACATTTATGATGATTGCAGTTCCCGCACTGATGTGATCCCTTTTTCCGACCTTCTGACAAGCAAAGTCAATGGGGAAACCAGATTCACTTAACAACCATGTTACTAATTTAGTAATTACTAATTACTAAAAGAATTGCAGTGATTCATTAACAAATGTGGCAACTAAAGTCGTAAAATGGGGCAAAACTCACTTCACAAATTTCTCACTTAGCAACATAAATTTTTGGCTCAACTCTGGTTGTAAGTTGATAACTAGCTGTATTTCATTAATGAATTATAGTTAAATAAATAAATAAATAAATAAATAAATAATTTTATTTCTATACCGCCCTTCTCCCGAAGGACTCAGGGCGGTGTACAGCCAATTTAAAAACACAACACACAACAATAATTAAAAATTAAAATAATTACATAGATTTGGCCGATTTAAAACCCCAAACATCTAAAATACCCCAATTAAAATTATTAAGTTGATAGCCCTGCCTGGCGGAACAACAGGGTCTTCAGTGCGCAACGAAACACTCGGAGGTCGGAGATCTTGCGTATTTCCGGGGGCAGTTCATTCCACAGGGCTGGGGCTCCCACAGAAAAGGCCCTCCCCCTGGGTGTCGCCAGCCGACATAACTTGGCTGATGGCACCCTGAGGAGACCCTCTCTGTGGGAGCAGACTGGTCGGTGGGAGGCTATTGGTGGCAGAAGACGGTCTCGAAGGTACCCGGGTCCTATGCCATGGAGCGCTTTAAAGGTGGTAACCAACACCTTGAATCGTTAAACAAACTTGTATCTTAGGATAATATATTAACATCATTACTAAAATATTTTGGTAATTCAGATGTCCTTTAGTTCCTGTTCAGGTTTTAATTTAACACCTATACAATAACAAGTAAACTGATCTAGAAACGTAACCTTTGACATACAAACAATATCACCCTGTATCTCCCATTTGATGCACTAAGCAACAAAGTATAAACTAGAGTTTTCTGTAATTTGCTCAGATAATTAATTCCCCAATTATGCTGAAAGTTCTATTTTGTATTCATGTGAACGCATGTAGAACCTCAACTCCTAACTTTTCTATTTCAATTAACAATGCTAAAGGGAGGGATAACTAATGCAGAGATATTAGGAGATAATACCCAGGAGAGTTCCTTGGGAGTTGGGCGGCATAGAAATTTGATAAATTAAATTAAATTAAATTTCTGTCCTTGATGTATAAATAACATACACTACTCAGAGCCTTCTGTCTGCAGTACAGGAAATAGTATTCTCTTTTATCTGCAAGATAACATGATGTCCTTTGAATGGTTATTCTGTGAATGCCAAGTATGATTGTGCTGACTGTTCTATGAAATAAATTAAAATTAGTTCTTCTCTGCTAAACAAGGTAACATTTGAGTGTTTTTTTAAATAAAAAGCAAAGTTCGAGATAATAACCAGATAAAATAACCAAGGGATAAGAGACAGAGAGACAAGCAGACATATAGACCAGATTCAATTTCTATCTCAATAGTGACAAAAGGGAGAGGTGTGAGAGGATTGTTCGACTAACCCAGTATCTGCCTGAACACCAGTGCATTGATATACAAAGAAAACTACTGTTAATTCCAAATAATTAACATCAAACGGAAAAATAAAATAACTCAATAGGCTATCTTCAAAGTTACATAATGGGGTTTGGGCTCATGCCAAGGGACTCCCCATCTCCAACATAGCTCTGGAGAATCTAACTCTTTAAATTAGACTTTGAGTATCACAGCAAAGGAAAGGCAGAAGAATATAAATTTGGTATATATCTCTATAAGTTAAATTATATAAATTTAAAACCATAAATTAATTTTAAAAATATATTATCATCAAATAGATTTCTATTACCTTTGCTATATTACCCGTATATCCTGGAACCAAAGTAAGATGATTTTCTTGTTTCCACAATATACTTAATTGTTCTTTTAAAATCTGAATATTTCTAAGAAAGAAAGCCAAAAGTATGGAATATCAATGCAATAAATAAAGAGCAATCAGTGTCTCATGGTAACTATATTACCTAGATTTCAAATAGATGACCAATTGTATCTTTAGTAAGTTACTGGCTAATGCAGAAAAAATGTTTTTAATAATTGTAACTGAAATTTGAGAAGGCCATCACAACATTCCATTAATCTTAGAGCAGGTTTTAATTTAAGTTCTATATTTTTTTTTCTGGTATTATGCTAGAGACCTCAATAGATGCCATATTTTCAAGATCAGAAATATATTATTTCTGTAGGAACAAAAGCACTGAGTGCTGTCAGCTAAGAAGTGTTGGCTGGCCTTTTCTGACATGGCACCTGCTTTGTGTAATATCATTCCACCAGAGATTAAACAGCCCAACTGTACTGGCTTTTCACAAGTCCCTAAAAATTTGATTTTGAGCTAGAGCCTGGAAGTGAGATGGAGCTCATCTCTTGGTTTTGTTAATGGCTATTTTATTTGCTTGACTGCTATATTTTTTATTTTATATAATGTATTTGTTTTTATCTATTTTACTGTAAACCCCCCAAAGTTACATATATGAGATGGATAGCTATATAAATCAAATGAACAATTCTATGGGCATCTCACGTTGACAAAATTACTTTGTAATTGTTATTCAAGTTAGTGATTTTTTTCTACCTTCAGTTTCACATATCAAAAAGTATAGATAACAGAGGTTATTGAAGATTAGGCAAGAAAATCTACAAGGAGTCATACTTTCTAGCTCTAATAGAAAAAAAGGTTCTCCATTTTTATAGCAGAGTTTTCAATACTAAGTGAAAGAGAAAGATCTGCACGATCAAACTTCTTGAATATTGTTTAATCTATGTTCAAAACATCTATTTTTTTTTTAATCAGGAAAGTTTTTAGTTATTAAAAAATATCCAATGTATTTTAGGCACTAGCTAAAAGTTTAGCAGTCATACTAAAAGCCATACTGCATGTTTAAAAAGGCTAACTTACCCATCTTCTGTCTTTTCCGTATGGACAGAAAGTTCTGACCACCACCTCTTAATCACAGCCTGAAGCCAATTTAAACCAACAATTACATATCTAGGGGAAAAGAAATCACTATGGTAAGACTTTATTCTGAAAACTGCTTAAACATTGGCAAAATATTCTTTAAAACAGTTGCAAACTACTAAGAAATCTTTCAAATCAAATTCCATTTTTTCAATAAATGGAAAAAACAACCAGAATAATTCTTCCTAATAATTAGTAGTGGGTTTCAATTTCGTTCGCTACCGGTTTGCTCGTGGTTGTGTGCTTCTGCGCATGTGCAGAGATGTCCGGGCAGGTAGGCGGAGCTTCCCGCCGCCACTACTGGTTCGCCCAATCTGGTAGCAACCCACCACTGCTAATAATGTATTAAATTTTTTTTTTTTCCTTAGAAGGCAAAATGTCTGAATTATATGGGTTTAACTCAACCAAGCTATTACTGAGAAACATTTTTTCCAGGTCATTCTGTTCAGCAACACTACTTTTGGTTTTCCCAAAATCTTTTTTATTTGAACAGGCTTAAGCAACTGAACTGACATTGATTGCTTGTTTTTAAATATATAAATAGTAGAAGACACATCTTTAGCATCAGTAAATCAGGCTGAGGAAGACTAAGTGCAAATATAAAATAGTTGCAGAACAGATGGCTTTTTAGCATCCCGTACTTTAACCCATCCTGATTGGGATTTTGGAATGTATAGCTCAGCAACATTGGAAAGGCCATATATTTGCCCTGCCATGTTAGGACAATGAGACCAATAACTGTTGATCCCACCCTTGACAATGCAAGTCTATGAATTTATCAGAAATAACAAACTATGAACGGTAAGGATTAACTTTTATTTTTATTCTCTAAATAATCACAAAGGAAATATTTTTAAAAAACACTTACTCTTCAAATTTGCTTTTAAGAATTAATTTTACTAATGGTAGAAGGTCTACACAGCAACCAACAGAAATATAAGGTTTTTCTTCCTGTAAACTGAAACAAGGCGTTATTAGTATGTATAAATATACACTTTTGGATTCCATTAACCCCTTCCTCTAGATTTTTCTTTTACCTGCTGGTAAGGACAGGGAGGCAATCTACAACTACTCCCAGATCTTGTATCCTAGAAACATCATGAAAATACCCCATTAGTCACTGCTTTGTGCAATTCTTCAATACATTTCAGAAGACAGTATCAATATTTTTAAGGGCAGTATATTAGAAATGGCTGGATTTTATTACATTAATTTACACAGGATAAACAAAGTCTGTGCATATTAGGCCTATGAAGAATTCCCACAGGTTTTTAAATTATGATCTCACATTCCATTATTATCCCATTATTGTTATGGTTTGTCACATAGCCAGTTTAGACTGGACATTTTTATCCACTTTCCCAAGGACCTGGGTATGTAGATGTTCTTGTTTGATGGTGTTAAAGATATCATTGCAGAATATGAACTGATCCAAGTAAAACTCTGCTTTGCAATTGACTGATTGTTATTTTGTCAGTGCCAGTGGTGTTCAAGTGATGCACCAGTTTGTTATTATCCGTTGTACAGTTGGATAGATGTTTAGACTGGATTTGGCATTTAAGTCCACTGTTACTATTACAGCATATAAAACATAATTAATTGTGTTGTGGATATTCCTGCAGGGAACGCCCAAACAGTTCCATCCAGGCTTTTTTTTTGTAAAAAGAATCCTACCTATAACCTCCCCCCACACCCAGACACACACAATGTGACTTCAGTTCAGCTAACGGCAGTCTTCTTAAAACTTTACCTCACTAAATAGGCTACAAGTTCACTTATACTTCTCCTCTTCCAAAAGGTTAAAGCTACATTCAGCCGGAGATTTCTACTGAACAGAACTTGGGCCATTGTATCATGATCTTCAGAAACCTAGAAACAGTGTAAGAACAGTGCAAGTGTTATGAGCCAAGAACTATGATTTTATGAATTTTCTATCAGCTGAGTCTATTAAAGATATCTATATGCAGCTCACCTTGTTGTTGAACTTTACCTACAGAAGCTTGAATTTATAAAACAATTATTTTTATAGATAGTATTTTGTGAAACTTGTCTTAAGTCCATGTTTGATGCATTACTCTACAAATAATACAAGGAGTTGTTGCCAGACATTGCTCTAATTTGCATGTTCCTCTATAGTATGAAGGAACAAAAAAATAAAATAAAAAGGTTGTTGCATTAGCCTACTGGAATAATAATAATTTATATAGCCAGCACATTCTGTCTGCCTTCTGAAAGAAAGACAGAATGTAGCCACAGCATGACGGCCTTCTTTCCAGCAGTGGTAATAGTTATAGAAAAGGAATGGAATGGAAAAAAGCATTTACATTAGATTTTCAATTACATACTTGTTCTATTCACACTGAACTGTTTCCTGTATGTTATGGAAAATATTATTTTCCAGTAATTTGTACAGTTATAATTTTTGTATGATGCTTTAATCTTGGTGTATTCTGAGTAGTAAAACAGAAGAAATCAAACATAATAATAAATAAATCAGTAGTTGACCACAATCATATTAAAGACCAAAAGGTAGTTGAAATAATTGTTTTTGAATGAGCCGTTAAGCACCTCTGCAGAAGATAGTTCTGAACATGGTTATCACTGAGAAAATCTTCATGCCCAGCCAAATCTCTTTACTTTGGAGGATTGGGATTTTCAAAAGTACCTTTCTAGATATCCAGACTGGATAGATAGAATCCTGTTTGATGTGTTAATCCTGATATATCCCATTGCTACACTACATGGGGCTTTATAGCCAATGAAAAACATGCTGAATTGGGCCAGAAAACATACTGTACTGGCAACCAATGTGTGGCCAAAGCAGAAATAATTCTGCTGTGGAGTGTTCTCAGAGTTAACAGTCTAGTTCAGGGCTGTCAAACTTGCAGCCCATACCCGGTTTAGTGAAGGGGGGAAAAAGTCGTGATATGTCACATGATGCTGCATGTTTGACATTCCTGGCCTACTTGCTGTATTCTGCACCAGCTAAAGCTGGTGAAGTTGACTTCAAAGGCATCTCCACATAATGCACATTGAAGAACTCAGATTATGCTGTGATAAGGGACTATGTTACTATCATTGACGGCTTATAAATCAATTTAGGGTGTACCAGGCAACACCGCCTCCAGCAGTAATTCCACTTTCTACTGCAAGAGCTGAGGGTCCAAGAGAAGTTCCAAGATATAGATCATCTCCTTTAGGAAAACGTGATTCTGTCAAGAACAGCTATTGGGGTTAATGTTTCCAGATAACTTAGATGTTAATGTACAAATAGCAACACAGTCTCAGTAGAATATAGTATGAGCTTGCTTTTCCCTATCCATTCCAAGACAGCCTCTAGATCTTGCAATGTTGAGTTACTATATTAAATAATGTTGGTATTAATAAAATGGATTATATCGAGTTCTATAATTATATTGGATTACATTTACTCACTGGTACATCTTCCCCCTACAATTCTCATAAACCCTAATCCAAAGCAGATATGGGTGATAGGTTTATAGCAAAGAATATGGGTGATAGGTTTATAGCAAAGAATAATCAAACCCCAACATGCACAGAAAAACAGAGGAAGGTAAACAGGGTTCCAGTGTCTTACATTCTGATTCATAAATTTTTAAAAAGATAAAACGTTTGATTTACCTCTGAAAAAAATCCACTGTATTTTGATGATGGACTCTCTGTTTGAGATCGGCCAGCATCACTGGAGTTCAGTAAGAAAGTACGACCATTAGGAGGCAATTTGGCTGGCAGGTTACCTGCACAGGCTAGTTCATTTTCCTTATTTGCCATGTCACGGCCTCTAACTTTAGGGAGCTGTTTCTTTCTGAAACAAGGCTTTGGAGAATAATAGTGAGCCTTTCTTCTACAATATACTACTTTGAACAGAGGATGAGGGCTGGTTAGAGTTTGTCCAACTGTTGTTCTGCAAGAACAAGAAAGTTCATTTAAAATCTGAATATAAAACATTCAAGCAGAGTATAAAGTCACATGCAATCTTAGAATCTTTTGTGCCATCTTGCATTTACTAAGAGAATACTATTAGACATGTAAGTTTGCTTCAAATCTGGTGTGGGAAACACTATTTGAAGCATTACCCCCTAAAAACGACTATGCTTATATCTCTCCCTCAGGACATAAAAAGTTGAGGAAAAATAATAGGTACAGCAATAAAAATATCCTATTCACCATCTCCTCCCTGTAAACATTTGCACAATTTCCAATGAAGATTGGCATCCTTTTTGACCAATTGCTGTATATAGCTCAGCAGTCACAAACAATGGCCCCTGGAATTGGAACAGTATAAGCAGTTTTGGTTGGTTAATTATTTTTCCTTATAGTCAACCACCAAATAGCTATAGGTGTGGAAATTAAATTCCTTATAGACCAATCTACATGATCAGGAGACTTCCTTCAGTGTGACAAATCAGTTTTATCAGATGCCTCTGACATTAAGACAATGCTATTTTTATCCTAATTAGAGATGAGCACCAAGAAATGGAATGGGACCAAAAAACTATTTCAGGTCATGCCAAAGATGCTAACAGCATTTAGTTCTAAGGAACCTGGACAAAAATGCCTTCTTTCAATAGTTTTAATAGATTATTTAAATCAGAAGGATTTCTAAATATACTAGTCTTTTCTCACAATCAATCAACCAAGGTAGCTCTTACCTGCGTGTGCAAGAAGCCAAATTATTTGCAGATTTCTTATCCTAGAAATAAACATAAAAAATGTTACAAAGAACAACACACACTAATAGTAATGCCTTATTTCACTCATATTTTTAAAATGCATTTTCACTTAGCTTTGATACTATTTGGAGAAAATCAAGTTAGTTTTGGCTTCAGAAAAGTAAAGTTACCAATGGCAACCCTAACTATTTAACTGAAGTACAAGATATTATGACATCTATGAGGCAGAAGAGATTATGACATCAGAAGTATGAGAAAACTTTGTCCTAAATCAGGAGTATAATGTCATTTTTGACATATGGAAAAAATCATTATATAACAATTAAGAATTTATTGCATTCTATACCAATGGCTTAAAAATACAGCATGTGGCTTACTTCAGAATATCAATTTAGCTAGTATTTATTGTGAAACTAGATCATTGAATAAATGGATGCTTTAATATTTAATATTCTGATCTGTAATTTAGTCTTTTCACAAAATAGCTTAGGATACTACTAAAAGGCCTTTTATCAATATAAGCAACATTTTGTTTGCCACCTTTATGTTCACAAGTTAAAAACATTCCAATTTAATTTACAATCTATGTGGTATTAGCAAAATTGCATTTTAACTTCTTCATTTTACAACACTACTGCTGAACATTCAGAATCTATAATATAATCTATAATATGGGTTGCTGTAGTATAAACTCTTTCCATTTCTGGACTTTGGGGTTCTATTACTTCACATATTTGGATTCATTTTTTTAACATTTCAGGATATAAGCTATTAATCAAAGAAATCTCTAGCATTATTATAGTACAATAAATTATTGGGGTGGATGGAATGTGCAAAGGAAGCTTTTTAGAAACTTTGTTAAAGATAACCATTGATGTATTAATGATTAACATTTGTAGCTTGGGGCAATTAAGAACCTCAGATAATCTTTAACAGAAAGTGCTGGCATTCAAGCCTATTTGTCCCCAAAATATTTCTAAATTCTACTACCATTTTCTGTTTCTTTTTCTATATTTCCATTTTTTTCCTAGCTTACTTTACAGTTCTGTAATTCAGAAACTTCAATTGTAGAGTCATCTTATCCTTTTTATAATCTATAATTATTAATGAGCATGACTCTGCTGAGATCTCTTGCTACTAACAGAAAGCAATTCTTTTTCCTATGTATATATTCCTCCTCTTCTATGTATTATCTATCTATCTATCTATCTATCTATCTATCTATCTATCTATCTATCTATCTATCTCTTCTATATATTCTTCCCCTTCTGCCCTCTGAACAATCTTGATTGGAAAAGTCCAGAGCAGCAAGGTTTTGGGGAAAACTGTTTCCTCTTTTTAATGGAAACTTGCACTAAATTAAAACTTCTTTTGCTTGTTGCTGGGCAACCCAAGGTCCAAACATATAAAAAGCATATCTACAGATACCTCTGGAAAACCCAGTTTTCATCCATTAGCTACTGAACAATTTTTCATTTCATGGAACTGCTGACAGTCCTGGAATTGTGGCGATATATGTGGGGTTATATATGTGATAAATAAGTAAATAAATTAATGTCAATTTGTGAAGCTTCCCTGACCTGCTCCCGAGTTGCCATAGGCAGGGGAATTGGAAATCGCACCTCACAGCTACCCCAAGGAATTTACTCCTCAGTCATAACAAGATGCATTTTGGCTGAGCAAGTCAAGGCCATCACCGTGGATACCAGCAATGCTGGAGGGAGTGACGTCTACAACCCGCAAAATTACCTCGTTGGGGAATGTGACCAGGTGACACACTTTGGGGGGAGGGGGAAAGAGTCAGGCGTGAAGACGGTGAAGTCAGCATTGGCTTCACCTAGCTAATGTTGACATGGTGCTCCTAATAAAAGACTGGATTTTTATTGCCAGATGGCTTGAGATTCTTAATTACGTTAGGCACTGGTCGGAACCCTGACAATTATCCAAATGCAATAAATACTGGAAACTAACCTTTCTGTAAATGGAACAAATCACAAGTAATCAATAAAATCCTTGTGAATTTATGGCAGCACTTACTTGATTTTGCACTATGGTGTATATACACAGATATAGATATACAGATAAGCTGAGAATACTACATCCCGAAATGCACCTCTAAAATTGTTTCAGCTTAGCCACGGATGGGTTTATCCACGAGTGACTATGGTACCACTTTTTTGAAGAACCTGTATTATACTTCCAGGCAGGGTGGATAAAAATCAATGATTTTTTTAAAAAATCAATTTTTTTTAATTTAAATTGGATTTTTTTTATTTAATTTAATAAAAACTTTTGGGGTAAAAATCTATGGTAAGATAGTTTTCTATTTAAGATACATAAATAATTTAGTTTATTCAGCATGAAATGGAGCTTAGTTATGTAGCATAAGGCTGTATATTCTGCAACACTGGGACTATCGGTGAGTCAACAGTGGGTCAAAGGAGTAGCAGAGATGACAGTTGCTCTTTAAAAATTATGATTTAAATCGAGTTGATTTAAATCAAGCCTTTTTATTAGTGATTTAAATCATGATTTAAATTGTGATTTAAATCAACTTGATTTAAATCAAATCCACCCTGCTTCCAGGTAAGCCGGCTCTCAAATTTTTAACCCGAATACCATGAAAACTTTGCCACCCACAGGTAAGCCAGTTATAAAAATTAAACATGATAAAATTTCAAGGGTCAGCTTATTCATGGGAAGCACATTTTTCACAGTATTTTGGTTAATAATTAGAGTCATCTTATCTGTTAATGGGCTGTTCCACAAGTATATCTAGTAGTTGCATCCACAGAAAAATGTCAAATGAGTTTATGTATGATTCTAAGGCAAAAGACTTTACTATAGTTTAATGAACAGGTAAAACTGTTTTATCCGGAAGGGAAAATTTCCACTTACCCTAAAATAGACTCTAGTCCAAATCTCAAAGTGAACATGAAGATTACTCTGATGCCTTTTAGAGAAGACTACCGACATATGCTTCATTTTCTCAGAGATAATAAAATATTTCACAAAACATTTGCAATATAGATATATGAAAAATTCTCTTTAAAGCTGAGTTCTAATGACTTAATGGACACAATAGTCTACTCTTCTTGATGTGGTTTATCAATGTTTTCTTTCAGGATAGTTTTCTTCCTTGTCTAATCTAAATCCCCAGAATTCTCCAGTACTTAGTTCAAGTAACTAAGCAGCACCAACTATCCACTACTATATCCAAGTCAAATCAATTCACTTGCTATCTAATAAGTTTAATGGCCCTTTATAAACGGCAGCTCTCTCACAATATACATTTACTGAATAGTAAAATGACATATATTAGTTTTTAAAACTAGTATTCAAATACACAAGTGAGATTTAGACATATAATATATGAAAAGCTTACCTCCTTCATATTCTCATTAAGGGAATGAGAGCTCCTTTTCTTAGGGAGATGAATAGGACGACCCTCAATACATAACAGGTTCCGTTTTCTAACATTTTGAGCTTCAGATGCCATAATCTCCACAATTCCTAATTTGGGAGACAGAATTAATTTACAATCTTAATATTAGCTATCATATTTAGACTCACAATGGTTGCAGTCTCCCAGGATCACATGATCACCTTTTGCAACCTTCTGACAAGTCAACAGGGAAGCCAGATTCATTTAACAACAGTGTTACTAATTTAACTGTAGTGATTCACTTAACAACTGTGGCAAGAAAGGTCGTAAAATGTGGCAAATTAACAAATCCCTTGCTTGGCAACAGAAATGTTGGGCTCAATTGCGGTGGTAAGTGAAGGACTACCTGTACTACAAATGCTCAATGATCCTCTCTCAAAAGAGAAAGCTGGAACCTGGGAAATACAAGTGCTGATGCAGAAAACGTACTTTTAAGTACCATTCATTAATACAATATTAAGAATACAATTACGTTTGGATTCAGCACACGTCTAAACTTTCTTAGCAATGTTTAACATATTCCAATAATATTGCTTATAATAGTGAACAAATCTGTCTAAAAAGCGTGAAGTGAAACTTCTGTAAATGTTGGATTATGAAAACAAGTTTGTTCTCAGCTGCAATATTGTAAAAATATTCCCAGAGTTCTTCTCAGCTTTAAATTCAAGTTCTACCAGATTTTATCTTGAAGGGAAAAAATACCACTTTAATTTCACATTTTGGGTAATACAGAGAAAGGATATGGTAGAATCTATATTACAATACGGTCTAAACCTGAATGTTAAAATAGAACTGAATATCCTTGAAATACTAAAATTATAGTTAAACTATGTGTTTTTCCTAATTGTACATAATATTGTAACCAGATCATACTGTAGGTTGTACTGTGTGCTGTAATTATTCTCTAGATATAAAAAAAATTAAACCCTAAAAGCTATTTCTTAAATGTTATTGTAAACTCCAGCCCTGTTTACCTTAATGTTCATAATATGTATTTGTTGGTTATTTTTCAACTAGCAAAGTAGCCAAAGAGAGCCACTTACAGATAAGGTAGAAGCTTCTGTGTATTGAGCATCAATAAGGAACCAATGATGATGAACCTTTTGCTCACCGTGGCAAAAATTCAGAAAATGCCTTAATTTTACTTTGCTGGCTTGTCACTCCCTCATAAAAAATTATTGCATATTTGTTTATTTAAAAAAATATAGTCCAATCATGAGGTGCTCTGTATTATATAAACAAATATTAAATGGTTACGAACATGAAATACAAGTAAAAGAAGCTCATTTTCAGAGTTGTGCTTTTGAGAAAGTTGTTGTCAAATGTTGGTATGACATGTCACCTTTGTTTGACACACATATCATAGGTTTGCTATTGATGAACTAAGCCAGGGGTGTCTAACCCCCAGTTGACACAGATCTGCGGCATGCCAGAAACCAGGCCGCGCAAACAAGCAGAGCCCCATCTGTGAGATGCTGGCAGCCCACGAAACCACACCCCCTCTGGTCCATGGAAAAGACCCAGTCCCTGGTGCCCAAAATGTTGGGGGCCGCTGAGCTAGGAAAACTAACACCGTTAGGAATATTTCTAGTGATAGGACAATAATGAAATAAAGCTGCAAGCACTCCTGCCTGCCTCCTCTGCCTCTCCTATTCCAAACTTCCCCATTCCCTTCTGCTGTTTGCTGCTCTCCCATTTGCATATATGAAATTAAACCAGCCCCAGGCTACGGCACATCATGTTTCTACTGCAGCAATAGCCTTTTAATCCCATCACAGCCAAAACAATGAGAAAGCCCTCACCTATCATCATAAAGGTTCATCTAGGGTGCAGCCTTAAAGAGTTATGCATCTACTGAAACATGGTTCTTCTCCTCAGCATTGTATTCCTTTCTTCAACCAATAAGCTCCACAACTGTTCACTAAATATTTTTCAGGCAGGAGGTAGACATGTACTGTAAGTCCTGCACATAGCAAAGGACAGGCCAAGATGGCTTAAAAGAATCCTTTCTAGGCTCTGATGATGAGCAGCACAAATAGCTTGGTGAACTCTGATTCTGAAACCCCTACATGTCCTAAAGCACTAACGTGGGATTGACAGCATTCCTAGCTTCAAAATACAGCCCCAAATTTTCCCTTACTCTGTTTCTCTGAATTGTATTAATTATTATTCATTGTGGCAGCTTAGTAGTGACTTTTGAAATATTTTTCCCTTTACAGTTGAGGTCTGAAACTTCTGGCATCTGCACTATTTAAATTGGAGTCCACTCTCACTCTTCATCTGTGTTAGAAAAATAGCCACCAACTGCGCTCCTGATATGGTTTATCAGCCCCAAACATCCCACCAGAAAATAGGGGGGAGAGAGATAAGTCTACTCCAGTGGGTCGCTGCGAGACATCATCTCTGTTACTTAAAGGCATTAGACCAGCAATATAGGGTGTATTCGAGAATTATACTATCATTGTTAGAAAGCCAAAAAGTTAAAAACAGGTTTCCAAATAGTCTTGTCTTCCTTTTCTCATCCCCTATTTTTTGCAAAGCAATACTGTATTTAAAACTACAAGTCTGAAAAACAGGGTAGACATGTTTTACATAGAAATCAAACATGTTGTAACACTGGAGGCCATCTGCTTTATTTAAGCTGAGGAGCTCAAGTAATCAACTTAGAAGTTAAATCCATGATTTGGCTTTCATAGCACTATCATATTTGAAATACCTGAAGTGATTTGATTTTTTTTACCTTATTATTTTTACATGTTCAAATCTGACTTAACTACCATAATTAAAGAACAAATGATAAAAAGGTATCCTAGTATTACATCAATAGGAATAGAGTCATCTATGGTGTGTTCCCCAATCTGGGACAATCTAGTTGTGTTAGGCTTCAATTTCTATAATCTCTCAGAGAAGATAACTGGATGATACCAGGTAAGGGAAGATTGGTTTACCTGTAGCATATGGAATGGCTGATGCGCTTTAAGGACAGAAAAGCCTATATCAATAATTCCTTTAAAACCTATATTACCAAGCAATAATATGTACATATCCCCCATGATTAAATATCACTAAAGCTTGCTTTACTGTCCCAAATCACAAACGGGTAGATAGCTTGTTCTGCTATACTGTACTCATTTGCTGCATATGGTCTCTTCCACAGTACATGCAACTACTCCTAGTCATTAATTAAGACTTGTCTAGTCAATCTACTTAACTGTGTTAAAACTATCAGTTATTACATGAGTAATCTACCAGATTTAGAGCCTATGTTCGCGTTTGAACATATGAACAGATTTGCAGCCTATGCTCACATTGAATTACTTTTCTGGAATGGATTTTTGAAACCATTTATTTCTGGAATTGCAGTTTTGCAATCTACTAAGTTGTTTCAGGATGGCACTTTAGCAATCTCACTTTCTCATACAACAGAATAACTAGCAGAATAGCTAGGTAAAGTCATTATTTTACAATTATTTAACAGTCATTAGTTGGAATTATCTGCAAATTTCATTATTAGATGTACCCCATTTTCAGTCAATATGATTAGCATTTTATGTAAAGTCATCAACATCATAAAGAACAAGTTGTGGACCTTTTTTTAACTATGATTTTGATAATTGTGATTTAATATGAATTATGGATTCAAGGTAGAAGGAAAGCAATAAGGAAGGAAAATCCCACACAGATCTTTTTCTCCTAGGCCAAAGCTATATAAAACAACTATCACTTGATCAGAACACTTTAACACAATACTGCCAAAATTTTATTTTATTATATTTAATAGGCCTTATAGGCTTTTCCAGACTTGATAAAGACTATATAATTATAAGAAGCAAAAATATTGGTTTCTATTTGACAGTCTTCACTTGAATCACATTAGAACTTAAAAAAAGATAACGATTTCTTCAATTTAGAAGTTCCCTTGATTTATTACTTTACTTTAGTAAGTTTTTTTTTGCTTGCTGTAAAACAAGCAATGTGGAGTCTCTGGTGCTCTCTGAGCATGGTTCTTGCTTACAGACATTTCATTACCCAACTAAGTAACATCATTAGTTCAAGTGAGTGTCAAGTTTGCTCCCTATTTATATACACTAGTTTGCCTTACAGTGTTAATGGGGACGTGGTTTTCTCCTTGGTCATTTATTGATTAGGGTATTTTCTGCTAGATTGTTTTCCTGGTAAACAATTATTTGGGTGTTGGCTACTAGACCGGATATGTTCTGATTGTTTTGGTTCCTTCTTAGCTTTATACTGGTATTGGAGACACGGTGGCACAGTGGTTAGAATGCAGTATTGCAGGCTAACTCTGCCCATAGCCAGGAGTTCAATCCTGACTGGCTCAAGCTTCACTCAGTCTTCCAACCTTCCGAAGTCAATAAAATGAGGGCCCAGATTGTTGGGGCAATATGCTGATATTTGTACACTGCTCAGAGTGTGCTATAAAGCAGTGGTCCCCAACCTTTTTATCGCCGCGGCCCGCTGAGCGCGCGCAGGGGTGGGGGCACAGCCCAGGAGCTTTTGCGCACGGCCCATTGCGCACGGCCCAGGAGCCTTTGCGCTGCAGCGTTCATGTCCCCCGGCCGCTGCGCGGCCCGGTGCCAGGTACTCCACGGCCCGGCACCGGTCCGCGGACCGGGGGTTGGGGACCACTGCTATAAAGCACTATGGAGTGATATATAAGTCTAAGTGCTATTGCTGTTGCTAAGTGCTATATTGTCTTTTTTGAATGGTATCTAAATAATGGTTTATTTCTGTGCCGATTGATGGCTGGTTTGTCTGAATGCTAACTTTCAGAAATTCCCTCGTTTTTGGATTTAGATTGATGTGCTAGGGCAAAAGCAGCATTTTATTCTTTAAAATTATACTACAGATAGTCCTCAACAGCACCATTCATTCAACAATGGTCTGGAATTATGATGGTCTGGAATTATGACAGACTCTGATAAGGCATCCAGCTGTCACATGCCTCAGGTTGGGGAAGGCCCTGGGAGGTCCAGTGCAGGTCATGCACAAGTATCTCTCCACTCAGAGGCTGACAATACTGCTTAACGACCACAATCAGGAGTGCTGG